TAACATTTCACAGAATTTATTTAATTTTTTAAGCAACATTGGATACAAATTCTTTGATCCATTTCTTTTAACGAACGAAAAATCGCCGAGCTCATAAAACACGTCTAACCTTAGCGGCTGCCACAGACAAAGTAAACAATGAAAACAGCTAAAGTTTTTATCATACTTCGGGGGCATGTATACCAACATAATAAAGAAAATTTTATGACAACCGAACCCTCCGAACCCGCGAAATTTAACAATTGCCGTTATTTTCTGAACACACCTCGTATGTACCGATTGCGGCAATCACGTGATGTCCTTACATCTCGCCTCGGTTGACTTAGGTGGACAGTATAAAAGCTCAGGTGTCTTTCGTTTTTGGTGGGTTCCAATGCACCAAATTGCCCGACATTGATAAGACCTAAAATAGGCCTGTCTGTCTAGCTGTCTGTCGGTATTTGAAGTTGGTGGAACGCACTTAAAACAAAAACTCTGGCGAGGTGAAGGTTCAATTTTTATAAATCTTTACAGTAATGGGTCAAGAAAGTTTCTTGAAGAAACTAAGAAAATTGCAGGTTTTTTTTTCGTAGTATAATTACAATACCATCATTCGTAAATATTTTTAGTGTAATTACAATTTTTAATTATCCGTATTTTCAACACAATTTGTAAAGAAGATTCATATATTTATTTTGATTTTGACAATAAATTTCTTTGCGTGTAGTGACACAAATTTCGCATCCTACGCACTGTTTTTTTCATTTAGAAAGGCATTCGCGTAAAATCGACTTTTTTCTTCCCTTCAAACAAATTCGACTCCGATAAATCGGCCAGGTGTATCGATCGCAGTAGCCGCTGAAAATCCGGGTCCAATGGAGATGCGAAAGGGCGTGGCTCGATGATCCGGCCGGCCAATCGCGTGGTCGGGATCGCGATTCAAGGCAAGCCGCGATCGCAATTACGTGATATCGCGGTACGGAGTCAACGTAGACAATAAACGTTCGCGCCTGCTCAATAAAAAGTTACTAACCCAACATTTCCTCGACTTATGAACTTAGTTTACCTACCTATGTAACTTGGGGTGATTAAAAAAAAATCGAATATTTTTTTTTCAAGCAAACAAATTAAATAAAATTGGGTTATAACCTACCTTAAGCTACTTAATCTTTGTCTCGTTTGTCACTTAATATCAACTTATCTTAATTGAACCTAATAAAACAATTAACCAGATTGACATGGTATACCATGGATATATCCTGATTTTCCTTACTAACTGGTTTCTAAATGTTCTAAATTAATGTTAATTTATTAAGCTGTCAGCCCTTATAAGTATATATACTTAATCCTATTTATAAATCCAAAAACCTAAGGGTTGTTGTGCTGTTATTTAAAACTATACAGGGTTTTTAACAGATATTAATTTTTTTTCGTTAAAATTTGACAAATCAAAATAGCCCATAACTTTTTTGTTATTAGGTTTGCCAATATGGCGGTGGAATTTTTTGAATCTTAAAACATTGTTAAAAGATTCCATGTCGATTCTTTATCATTTTTCAACAAATTACCTGAGAAAACCCAGGGCAAATTGGGCTTGACTTGAAAGGTTAATAACTTTTTTATTTTAAATGTAACACCCAGTATTTTTTTACATAATCAAATAGAAAATTAAAAAACCTTTCTATTAATGTAACTTTTCCCTATACCTAAAGTTAATAATTGCAGAGATATTTAACAATTTCTAAAATTTTAAATATTATTTTGTATCAAGAAACCTGTGACAGGTGAGTTGACGGTATCTATGGTTACCACGCAATCTGTCATTGTTCAAAATTTAATGGCGCCAATGTTTCAGGTTGTTATAAACAATGAATTGTATTGTAAACAATATTACCAACTGATAAAAATAGCAGTCAGTGACTTGGGTATAAAAACATTGACAAGACAAGAATTTTAAGAAATCATACATTTTGAATATTAGAGCTTCACGGAAGATAGCTTCACAGAGGTTAGGATGTTTTTTTAAACATCCCTTTGTATATTTGAAATAAGTTATTGTATCTTTTGACACCTTAATATTTTTTTAAAATACAATTGTACATACATTAAATATATATAAAAAAATCTACTTACTGAGATATTACACTTCACGGTGGATATGTTTTTAAATAGCAAATTAATGAACTTAAATTTTTGAATTATAAAACAGCAACACTCTCATCTGCATATAAATTCTAACTGACCTTCAGGAATCACATGCATCTATAATGTTGTAAACAGAGGTTTTTGCTTATTTAAAATGATTAAAGCACCATACGTTGCATAAAATTTAAAGCAAAAACAGATTCACGGAGGATAGAATCAATTTTTGTAACACCTACATAAATGGTTATAAAAATTATTTTTTAATTTTTAATAAAATTTTATATTTGATTCGATTGCTTTGGATGTGTTTAATTTACTTAGTGAACCGATATTTAAGTATGTACTACCTCAGATATTTGAAAACAAAAAAAAAACTTTTTGTAACAAAATGTATAACCCTAATGCCTTATCAATATTATAATTAGCATACCTATAAAGGAATAGAGGCATATTCATTACTGATATCGCTTTTAGCATTAAATGGTATGTTAATTATTAACATTATCACCATATTATTAACTACGATGATAGAAAAAACAGTAAAAATAAAACCATTTAAAACAATTAAAATTGTAATATAAATAAGTCTAAAAACATTTTTGAAAAAACTGCTTAAATAAAATAATACTTCAAATGAATGAAATAAGAAAAAAATCATAACTCTCTTATTAATAGACATGTAACAATATAGAAGATATATTTTTGTAGGAAATTTTACAATCTACAAAAAATGCCTTTTGCGTTTTTTCCGTAAAACGATTCATTTAAATTATATCGAAGGTCAAAGTTTGAAAAAAAATATATCGTCATTGCAATGACGATATATTTTTTTTCAAACTTTGACCTTCGATATAAACATGTTTCCTTCAAAATTGTTTTTAGAATGTAAACTATTAATTTGGATAATATCTAAAAATCTAAAATAGACCGAAAAAATTACATAAATAAATTTAAAATGGCAAATTTATTTAATTAATTTTATGCCCCTTTTATAATAAAAAAATACTTTATAGTAACCGAAATTATGCATTGTTTTAGTGTAAACGTAAAAACCCCAATAAAAACAATTTACAACTTTTTGTTTGTTATTTAATTTAACGCTTGCAGATAGCTACGTGTGCTCTAATTGCCTATTAGACAATAGTTTATGGTGTTTTACGTTGTTTTTTTACAATGAAACAAAGAACAATGTAGCACGAATTGTATTAGAGTTGGTATTAGAAAACGGTACCAAAAACGCTTCAATTAACAGATACGAAAGGTTTATTTAGAAAATTAATTAATAGGTGGGTAAAGTAGGTATTATAAGAGAAAGTTTATTCATTTCAAAATAACTATCGCTTTTGTTTAAAAGAAATAATTTTTATAACCATTTATGTAGGTGTTGCAAAAATTGATTCTATCCTCCGTGAATCTGTTTTTGCTTTAAATTTTATGCAACGGATGGCGCTTTAATCATTTTAAATAAGCAAAAACCTCTGTTTACGACATTATAGATGCATGTGATTCCTGAAGGTCAGTTAGAATGTATATGAAGATGAGTGTTGCTGTTTTATAATTCAAAAGTTTAAGTTCATTAATTTGCTATTTAAAAACCTATCCACCGTGAAGTGTAATATTTTAAGAAGTAGATTTTTTTATAAATATTTTATGTGTTTTTAAAAAATATTAAGGTGTCAAAAGATACAATAACTTATTTCAAATATACAAAGGGATGTTTAAAAAAAACATACGAAATCCTAACCTCAGTGAAGCTCTAATATTCAAAATGTATGATTTCTTAAAATTCTTGCATTGGTGCAGAACCACCTGGTGGCTTCCCAAAAACCCCATTCTAGACTAACAGTGAAACAACCAAAAATAAAAAATAATCATTTTCACTTGTTCATATTCACCCATATGAAATTTACATTATTTATTTAAATAAATAAAGTTAATTAAGTAGTATATAAAATTTATATTGTTTTTATAAATAAACAAAAAATGACAACATTATTTGCATTATTAATTGTTTAAAATATAAACTGTATTTTTTGCAAATATTTTATTTATAAACATTACCTACCTACAGCCAAGTTATACAGGGTGTTTCAGATTGAAATTTTAAAAGAATTTATAATCCATTTTAAATAACTTTGTTATTTCAAATAAAACACCCTGTATATTTTTACATTTTTAAATTCTGCATAAAATTCCGAGTAAAATTACTATACCATGTCCTATACCTGAAGTGAATAGTTTTCGAGTTATTAATAAAATTTGACAAATACGAGTCAATCATAAATGGCCTATAACTTTTTTGTTATTGGGTTAAAAGATTCCATGTCGATTCTTCAACAAATAACCTTTATTTTAAATGTAACACCCTGTATGTTTATACACAATCAAATAGTACATTAGTACCTTTCAATTAATTCCTAAATTTATATCTAAAGTTGGTAATTGCAGAGATATTTAACAATTTCTAAAATTTTAAATATTATTTTGTATCAAGAAACCTGTGACGGTATCTATGGTTACCACGTACCTAATCTGTCATTTTTTCAGGTTGGTATGAACAATTTTTTGACTTATTAAGTGTTTTGTAAACAATATTACTGACAAGCCAAACATTTTATAGTAGTTTATAAAAGTAAGATTTTCTTGGACATTAGATATTTAATACCTTACAAGTTTATAATGCTATTTACGGTAGTATAATCCGTGCACCTACCTATTTGATTTGGATTTGATTTTATTACTTTATTGGGTACCTAGTTTTATAACAAATTTTACCCCATGCGGCAGAGGTAGTAAAGTAATAAAATATTCAGAACTACAATATTTAATATTTACAGTTACATATATTAATTTGTTTAAAAATGCAGTGGACTTACAATTGGGCTTTCGTCTCCCATATCTGGTTCCCGTTCCTGAGGGTCCATCTCCATAGCGTAAACGGGCACGGGATCTCTGTTTTTAACGCGAATTTTGAAAAATCTGCTGGCAGAATGCCTGACAGCACCCTGCTACACCCAGCAAAAGAACACACAGAAGAGCACACACAACGTCCAGGTAACCACTTAATCGCAGTCGGCGCGCGATTGAGGTTATGTCACGCGAATTTGACAGCTGCTGTACGGAGCGCGAAACAAACGAGCGTCGGGTCTCTAGGCTTACTGCGACGGTGACGAGGAGCCGGCGATTTCCCCCTGATCGTTTTCTGGGCTGCGGCCAATGGTGTGGCTCGGGAGGAGTCGACGGGAGTGGTGGGGGGGCGGGTTCGCCGCTTTAATAACACGTTTTTATTGCGGGCATTATCCAATCGGCTTGCATAGCATCGCGTACATTGTTGATTTATGCTTCCAACGATTGATTCCCGCTAATTCCTTTCTTTCTTCTTTTCCACTTGGTTGTTCATCGATTCAATTGGCTCTTTGTTTTTAACATCGAGGCACGTTTAATTATGTCATTATCATAAGGAAAAAAACATTGTTTGTTTATAAATAAAAAAAACAAAACAAAGAAAATATCAAAGCAATCTTAACCCTTATTGCGAAACATGTCATAAGACGTCATTTTGTCAAAAGGTCTTATGACATGAGTTCTTAATGCTATTTTATCTATTTTGCAAAAATTCTATAAAAAAATTAATTTGGACGAATTTTACTTTAGATAGTTGGTATCACAGTCATTGGTTTGACAGTTACTGTCAAAAACGATTCGCCATGCATTTATCATGACTTAAGTCACATCTATTCTTAACAGTTTTATTTTTGGTTCACCTTGATATAAGTATTTATTTTTGTGAAAAATCTGGATTTTCTTAAAAAAAACCTTGCAATTTCCAATATTTTTCCTGTATGAAGAACTAAGGTTGGTATGGTCCATCCATAGCCTATGGAGGATGACAGTGACAGTTTTGTTGAATCATCCCATACTTGGACATGTCATATACAGCTTTTAAAAGCTATCAAATTGTTTTTTGTAAATTAATGTGTTAATTTTGAGGTGTCTTCTTACTTTTAAAAATGTCTCCGACTGATGTTGCTCTTTGCACTTTACTTCTTGTGACGTTTAAAACACTTGCCACGTAATACTGTGACCGTCCATCCTGGATTAAATTAATGGCTCTGGCAACATCACTCGGAGACATATCCATTTTTTTAAGTAAGAAGACACCTCAAAATTTAAACATTAATTTGCAAAAAACAATTTGATAGCTTTTGAAAGCCGTGTATGACATGTCCAAGTATGGGATGATTCAACAAAACTGTCACTGTCATTCTCCATAGCCTATGGATGGACCATAGCAACCTTAGTTCTTCATACAGAAAAATTTTGGAAAATGCAATGTTTTTTTAAAAAATCCATATTTTTTACAAAAATAAATATATCGAGGTGAACCAAAAACAAAACTGTTAAGAATAGTTGTGACTTGACAAATAAAACTTAATTTAGAACAATATACGGTTTTGCCACTCTACAGAGTGTCTTAAAGGTATGGTAAAAAACATATTTTTGTTTAAACCTGTATATTATAAACGTATACGTATACGTGTATTTTTTAGTAATTTTTAAAATGTGAGCGATTCTCCGTTAATGTATCTACAATATTCTTTAATATTTGTTTAAATCCGAAATCAAATAAAAAAGTTATTTGCGATTGAAATTCATCGAAAATTTGTGTGGATCGATTATTTTCACAGCAAACGGAAAATTATAGAGGTGCATAGGATGACGCCACGTTTGAATATCGATTTCTAAATCTCCCTACGGTATAGAGTTGTATTCGTCAGTCGAGCGTTTCAATACTCTCCACAGTATAGAGGTCGTAATTTCACTTTTGAACTAGTATTAATATAAAAATTATTTTATGCTTAAAAAAAACTACGACATGATTGTGATTTTTTTCATTTTATTAATTAATTAAGCTGTGTTGAATATTTTTCCTAAAGGAATAATTGCCAATGGGCCATTAATTCATTTGTTCGTAGATGCTACAATAACCTGCACTGGTGTGTACTTTTTCATCAACCAGATTTAAATATTACAAAATTAACATATACCAGTGGAGATAGTGCAGGGTCTACCAACAGACCTAATTACTAAATTATTAAAGTTTAATAGCATATCGATCATTTTTCAACATAACCTTTTAAATTTTTAATACAAATATAGGTACTTTATATAATACATAAATATACTTAACATCATATCCTCTGTGCTTTACATACCTGAGTTGTTACGGTAAATAAAAATCAGACAAAGGAACCAAAGAAAGGAACTATTTTCAACAAAATCATATGGAGAAATGAGAAAATTCATCCATCAAAAGATTAAAACTTCTTGCAATATTACACCCTCTTTTTATACTCTCAGAAATATTGACTAGAACAGTATTAGAAAGACTCCAGTTTCTATAACTTGGTAGAGTAAAGAGAAGTCGAAACCGTTGCGATATTGCATTGCGCTGTTTTTGTATAATTCTCCGGGACATTAACGAAAATCATTGCCAGTAAAATTCGAAAAGCTTGAGTTTCTATGTCTCTGAGAAGAATAGGAATCCGAAGTTGCTGCACCATTGGACTGAACCCTTTTTTAATAATTTCTAGAGACATATATGACTGCACCATTCGACAGGGTCGAGTTTCTACTCCTCTGTTGAATATAGAAAATCAAAATAATGTATCTTGTAAGACACCATTGAGTTTGACTTTAAATATAGTCGTGCATAGGTATAGAGCCGAAAAATATAAAAACAAAGCACGATTCAATACAGTTATGATAAAACTTTAAGATTTGATATTCAAACGCGGAGTCATCCTATACACTTCTATAATTTTTCGTTTGCTGTGTTGCTTTTGAGTGTATGTATACAAAAATCTGGATATTGTTGTTTACATTAATCAAAAAGCAAAACTTGTACAATTTTCACGTTTTTTTAATTTAAACTTTTATTCTAACTCCTTTGTAGCTTATTTGCCCCCGCCAATATTTTAGTATAAAGAATAATGCTTAAAGAAAAAAGTTCTTAGTGGAAGAAGTATAGTTCTCTTGAAAACAAATACAAAATCTCTTGAATGTTTCTTCTTTCAACCAAGTGCAATGTGGTTTTGTTCAAAAGCTATGAAAATTATTTATATTTACGCAATTCATTCAAGATACATCACAATTATCCAAATAGCATGTCAATTTTCTAACAAAATCTGGTAGCTTCTGATACATGGGAGGGGATGCAAAACGCGCACACCGTTTGAGGTGCACGTGTTTAGTACGTTTTGTATCATTGCTACTTGCAATTCGCCATTTTCCAGGGGCAGTGATCAGGGGCGGCTAGTGTATAAGGGCTGCAGAGCTGCAGAACTCCCAAAATATTCTTATTACTTGACTATTTTTTTAATTATTTAATATTTAAGTGCGACAGTGTATAAATATTTCAAACGCAAGGCTGCATAAAAAGTTTTTATTATAAACATTTGCCGTGTCGCCGTACTTGGCCACTACAGTCATCCAAACGACCGGTAAAGGTCTCTAACGCTTAACGCTTACAACATAGAAAAAGTATATATGGCCCTGGGTTAAGATAGCGAAATTTTAGCCAAATCGGAGCTGCACCAACATACAGTTCCTACTTCCCGGTCGTTTGTTTTTCGCTTCGCGTTCACGTTTGTTATTTTAACTAGAAGACTGTTAATTCTGTGTATTTTTGTGTTTTGTGTTTGTTGTTGTATTCTTTTGTAAGAATGAATGTGGTGTATGATTTAATTATGATTTAATTAACTATCTGTAGGTACCATTTAATTAAATGCCAACTGCGCCACATTTTTTTAAACCCCACTGGCAGAACTCACAAATTTTACTGCCACGAGCCGCCACTGGCAGTGATATAATATTATAATTCTATTATATGTATTTCCAATAAATTTTGCCGGTTGTGTTGTGTTGTGGCGTGTTGTATGTACTTTCACAGTGGAGTTGGAATCATTAAAACTCTTTTTTTTATAAAAAAATTTAATTAATTTGTTTAATGTTTTTGAAGGTAAGGTATTAATTAAAATATGTAATACAAATTGTATGTTAGTTTATTGGTATTAGTATAAAAAAGTGATTTTCATTTCTTATTCTTATTTTTTATAGGTATTAAATTAATAATACTATTAATAAATGTAAAAGGGTTGTGGTTAGAATGTGCTTAAAACGTTTCGTTTACATTTTATTTTGATAAATAAATTGCCGGGTAAAACGATTAGCAAATGATTTAATAATATATGCTCTTTATAAAGCATGTAATCTTTTCTAAATTACACATCATTTATAAGATGGGCGGTATGCTGCATCGTGATTAATTGATGAACACTGTGGTGCTAATGACTCTCGATAAACACCACTTTATTTTCTACTCAAAGGGTTCCTATATCAACCAACAGGAACTCTAGTCTTGAATAAAAATTAAATTTTAAAAACCTACGATTTGTGAAAGTAATGAGATTATTTTTATTTACAGAATAAACTTTTTTTACTGTTAATAAAATTTTCATTCACTATAATGAAGCAGCATTGTTGAGCTTTTATAAAAAAATGTTCATCCAACAAAGTACACGGAAAGAAATATATAGTCATTATTAATATAAATCTAGTAAGTTATACTATAATTTTTAATAAATATAGGGACAGCTATCTGATATTTTAAAATTTACTATAAAAATATGTTAATTATCTTACATTATTGTTTAGTAAATTTAACTATATTGTATGATTTTTTTAAATATATGCATATAATTTATTTTAATATATGCCTTCTAGTAATTTGTACAAAAATATTATGTTAGCTTTTATTAAAATGTTATAGTAATATTTAAAAAACAATATATTAGTAATAAATATCTTGGTATAATAATTTTAACTATATTTTTTTATAAGATTTACTATTTTTTTTCTTTAAATTATATTTTATTTGGTATGTTTTACTATAAATTTTAGTAAATATTAACTAGTTTTTATAGTAATATTTAACAGTTTTTTTGGAACACATAAAGGGTGATTCAGAATTATGGGATGAAATGTCAAGAGGTCTTCTATTATTATGGGTTACCCATATCTCTCGACATTTAATTTCACAATTCTGAATCACTCTAGAGTACAGCTGTATACAAACATACATAAAATTATAAAATAAAAGCATCATATAAA